TATATATTTTTTGTTTTGTTTTGTTTTGTTTTGTTTTTGTTTTTGTTTTTGTTTTGTTTTAGTGAAGGTTCTGCAGGGTGTTCAAGGTCTCACAACTAGATCGGACTAGTAGTGATTTGCCTATTTACAGCCTCCCAAAAGCTGGGATTACAGGCATGTACCACAAAGCTTCAGGGGCAGAGCTGACACCGCAAGCCTGGGGATTGAACCCCTGGCCCCTGCACCTGCTTGCAGGTGCTTTAATCCAAGTATCTGTGTTCTGAACTAGAAGGTAGAGTATATATTTTTTTGAGAATGGGAAATATGTTGTGTGAACTTTTTTTAAAAAAAATGTATTTGGTTGTTTCAGAGTCTCACTATGCAGGTTGGACTTGTGGTGATTCTCCTGCTTTCAGCCTTCCCAGTGCTGGGATTGTAGGCAAGCGCTACCACCCTTGGACTGTAGCTGGCTCAGTGCACCTTGGGGGTGGGGCTGGTGCTGCATGTGGTGGCCAGGATCTCGTCCCTGTGCTTGCCTGAGCTTGCCTAAGCAGACACTTTAGTCTGCTGAACTATCTTGCCAGCCCTGGAAAATATGTTTATAATAGTATATGTCATTTCCTTAGTCTAAATTTAGGACATTTTGCTACGGCACATAACAATTTAGACTTACATAAAAACATGTCAATAACAATTAATTTTTGAAGTTAGTGTTTCACATGCTATAAACTAGGCTTTTTTTTGACTTGAGACAGTCTAGCTTGCAGTTCAAAATGGCCTTAAATTCACTCCGCAGCCTTGGCTGGCCTCAAATTCACAATGATCTTCCTGCCTCAGCCTCCTATGTGCTGGGATTGCGGGTGTGTACCACCATGCCCAGCTGCCAGGCTTCTTTGGATGGGTAAAGAGGCAGAGGTGATTTCTAAGTCTTCAGAGTGAAGACTCCCTGTGAGGAGACAGATGCAGGCTCTTGGACCTCAGAGAGGAAGGTTGTGCTGGGAGAGTCAGCTTGTGAGAGATCTGCAGCTATTGGCCCTGGAAGCCACAGGCAAGAACCAGCTTCTCCTATGGGAGAAAGTGGGGCAGGAGGAGCAGGAGGGGCCTAACACTGAGCTGAAGGTGGCTCTGGCTTAGTGGATGGATGGGCTGAGTCTGCAGAGCATACTGGGAAGCCACAGGCTGAGAATGCAGGAGCTCGGGAGGATCCTGCAGGGTAGCAGCCCAGGACAAGCACATTTCAAGAGGTGGGAGGAGTCAGTATGCCTGGGGCTTCTGACCACTCAGCTGTCATGTCCTGAACATATCTGTTGGATTTGGCACCAGCAATGCTAGTGATCTTAGGGAAGCGTCTTTGTGGGGCAACTGAGGTGGAAGACAGATTGGCAGGGCTTGAGCCTTGCAGGTAGGATGAAGAGAAAGAGTCCACTGAGTAAATGTTGCTAGGTTCAATTAGAAGGAGGGCAGGTGTGAGGTGGCACATAGCAGGTGGCAGGTAGCAGGGGGTTGGGGGATACACTGGCACACTGGGAAAGTCAGAGAGGAAGAGGTGTGTGGACCAGAGATCATTGACAAGCGAGGGAGAAAAGAAGGTGGATATGCAGTTAATCTAATAGGAAGACAGCTGGCTGCTTTTGAGGGCAGGCCCCATCTAGGAGACTCTGGCAAGCACCTAGGGTAGATTTGCAAATTAAAGTCTTAGAATAATTTTAGGTAGCTTGCACTGGTATCTTCTCTGGCCTAGAGAGGAGGAATATTGGATGAAGGAATGGGCAGTTTTGCCAGTTAGTAATGAAAAACTAACTTACTTCTCTTGCTGCAAGCCAGCTCACTATCCTGGACTTCTGAGGTATTCTGTGCTTTATTGGAATAATTAAAGACCCTTTAACTTATATACTAGGAAAAGGCATTTTGAAACTCTGTGTCTTAAAGTTTGATTTCAAATAGCTCTACCCTGACAATTCCAGTGAATGGCCTGGGTAAAAATAAAATAAATAGATCCACTCTGCGGCCCCACATAGTCTGTGTGAACCAAAGGTGATTTTTCCCAAAGGATTCCTACAGCAATGGGTGAGGGAGAAATTAAGTCTGGCAAAGGTTTTCTTTACAGTTAGCAGACAGAGAAGGGGCGGGTGGTGGGGGCGGGGATTGAGATTGCAGCTTAGTGAGCTCTACTGAATGAAAGAAAAGCAGCCTCCAGCTGTTGCTCTGTGAATTCAGTTAAGTTTCCTGCAATAATATTAACTTTGTCCTCTTGCTTTTACTAGGGCATAATGACTACATATGTCCAGCTACCAACCAGTGCACGATTGATAAGAACAGGAGGAAGAGCTGTCAGGCCTGCCGGCTCCGCAAGTGCTACGATGTGGGCATGATCAAAGGTGGTACGTATCCCTGCCCCAGGCCCATTCTGGTGGCCTTGGTTGTGACCCAGTGCTGGCTGTGTGTGTTTGGATAACCGCTGGGGGATTAGTAGTTTCTAATCAATTTTTTCTTATTCTTATTTTTTATTGTAACAAAATGTACTTTCATAATGCATTTCATTTTAAAACATTGGAAGAGACCAGAACTGCAATTTCCAGTATGCCATTTGTATGTTATGTTTTCAATGCAAATAATTATATTTGTATCCGAGGTGTGTGGGAGGTAGTGGTGGAAGAAAAAGAAGATGGCTCGATGAATTATACTTGGAATGTGTTTTCACTTACTGTTTATATTGCTAGTACTAGAAAATGGTATCTGGAGAAAAAACTTCTCAGTTGAGACTTATACTCGTAAGAGCTAAATAGCTAATTTAATAACTTTCCAATTTCTTAACACACCTTGGGAATTTGAATTTCAGCCCCAGAAGGTTGTTCTTTGGAAGCTGAGTCTGAAAGCAGAGTGCTTCATGCTCTCAGTGCTAAAAACAGTTAACTGATACTGAGCTCTAACAAATCTCCAAAACCCACGCTTCGGGTCCCCAGTGATTACCTTTGTGGCTTCTGTGTTTGTGTGGCTTCCTTTCTCCTCAGAGACTAAGCCTTCCCGTTTTGTGTAGAGGGATCTGGAGGCCGGTTCTGGGGGTGTTAGTGTTTCTTCCTGTGGCTGTCTGGTCATCCTCTCTGTGTTCCCAGGAGTCTCCTCTTGAGGAACGCTGCCTCTAGGCTTCTACAGCCATCTCCATAGTGGGGAGGCAGACAGGCACTGTGTAACTAGGCAGAGTCCCAAAGTATCCAGTGTCCCACGTGACACGGGAGAGAGGGAGGGCCCGTTGCCTGCTGATTGTCCTGGAGAGAAGTTTTGAGAAGCAGATGAGGCTTGAGATGAACTAAGGAGAACCAAGCTGCAGTGAAGAAGAGTGAGGATTTTTCCGATGGAAGGTGATTGAGCTCAACGCCTTCAATCTGGATAAAGCAGGGAAGAGAGAGAAAACTAAGAATGGAGATCAAGATGCAGGCAGCTTGATCATTGCATAGTTTGTAACTATAGCTCTTTGTTCAGGCTGACAGTTTGAATACAGCACTTGCAATGAACTGTCTCAGTGAGCAGATGCCATGTTGAATTTACACACTGTGTGAGATGTGACTGTGTGGCTTACATGTCTGAAAAAGCAGCTTTAATTCAAAGGTAATTTATTCTAAGAATGCTATTGCCATATTCAGAAAAGGACACCTTGAGCCATGAATGAGTTGAATAATTAAAAATTTATTTTTCTCTTTAAAAAAAATTGTATGTGTTTGGTACAGGGTCTCGTGACGCAGCTCTGACTCGTACTGATCCTCCTCTTTTCAGCCTCCCTGATGCTGGCATTACAGGCATACACCACCATGTCCAGACTCTGTCTGGGTCAGAGCACCTGCGGGCAGGGCTGGGGGGCCTGTGGCGCCCGGGATCCAGCGTCTTTCTATATTTGTAAAGTAGGCTTAATGAAACTCACAGGAAGCTTCTTTAGGTAACTTGCTAAGTGACAGAACTAGAACGGCTCCAAGAGCAAGGTTGAATTTAAGTGCATCTTTGCGGCTTCAGGGGTTTGCGCGGCTCGTGTGTCTGCTAAGCCAGGATCTTCATGCTTTCTGAGAGCTGAAGCAACCGACCTGTGAATATGTACAAAACATTTTAAAAATGTGGTGGTTCCTGTGCGTCAACACTGTTTCATAGAAACAGTTGTTTTGTCCTAGTTAATATCCAGACTCAATCTGGATAGGAATGCATAAATGCAAAATTATACATTTTCATTTTTAATCATAAAAAATTCTAATTTGCAAAGCCGTGGTAAAAGCCCTCTGAACATTTCCAAATAGGAATCTAGATAACTATGTTCAGCCAGTCAGGGCATGCAGTCACTCGTACATGTGTAGTTACAGCTGTGGAATACGTATGTACATTAGTCCTCTGGGAAGGCCATAACAGAATGCCACACACTGAGTGGCTTAAATGACAAAAATTAATTTCCTCACATTATTAGATGCTAAGGTCAAGGTAATAGAAAATTAGATGTCTGGTTTCGCCTATTTTCCAGGCTTCTTGTGTCCTTACGTGGCCTCTTCTCTGCCCACACACTTCTGGTCTTTTCCTTTTCTACTACTGACAGAAGTTGCATTGGATTTGGCACCCCCTCTTGAGTTTTTATTAAATCTTCATTATCTCCATAAAGGTCCTACTGCAGGGGCCGCCCCCCACCCCTCCCGCCGAGTAGGAATTTCTGCCGACTTCCGGGAACCCCCAGACCCAGTCCTAGCCCAGGTCCGGAATTTCTGC